TGAAGCATCCAGCTGATATGAAGTGAGGGATGATGCACAAGAACACCCAAACTTACAGACAGTACCCATTTGACCTAGCCTCAATGGCTTGATAATCAGACTAGACTATCTGACTAGAGGCAGATTACCAAAGGAATCAAGGAAAACAAGGGTAAATTGCTACAATTTGATGATCCTGACCTATACTCATAGAGGTAGTAACTCTAAATACCAACATAGAGGGAAGGAGTCTTCACATCAAGTACCAATGCTATCCCCTCTGTACACAAGGTAGATAGGAATGGGCAACTTAGACATTGGCTACCTAAAATTAGGGGACAATAAAGGCACGAAGTGTCTGGCTTACAGGGTTTCAAGAGGGAGTTTAGTTTAAGAGGATGAGGAGAAAGAAATAGTCCCCACTGAATAATTTTTATCTTTTCTAGATGGGTCTGGTGAAAAGAGATGGGAATAAGATTCGTATGATTCAATAGTGAATAATTGTTATCATGACTAATTGCCACTGTCACATTTGTAAAGGTAGAAGTTTTGTAACAAAAACAGGAAAGTGGTTAATCTTACAGTCCAGAAACAGAGGACCCTAGGATCATCAAGGAGAAGAGCACAAGCAGAATGCGGGACCTTATCCAGAGAAGCAGAGATGCCATAGACGGAGGCAGAGATGGGGTCATGGAGAGGGGGACTGGCTGAGGACTCTTCATGGGAAGAGAGGAACTAAGAGCTGGTGGCCTGAAGGCTGACTTGAAGAATGTACTCTTTGGAGGTGTAAATTATTTTGTATATGCCTGAGTGTTTTGTTTTTGTTTTGTTTTTTAAAAAAGCTAAAGTGAATAGAGAGAAATACAGTTAACTGATGGTTAACATGAAGGGGATTATAATCATTGTAATGAAATAAGGTTTATGGTTTGTTGAATGTAAAACTGATGATCTTTCCTGTAAACTTTCACTCAATCCACAATAAAAACCTTAAAAAAAAAAAGTGAATTAATGATAAATGCTGATTCTCTTCTAGATTTCTGGAATAGGAAAAGTAACCGAGAAAATGTTAAAGGCCCTTGGAATTATTACTTGCACAGAACTCTACCAACAGAGGGCATTACTTTCGCTCCTTTTCTCTGAAACCTCTTGGCATTATTTCCTTCATATTTCCCTGGGACTAGGCTCAACACACCTGGAAAGGTATGTGTATAGTCATTTTGTTTTTTCTTTGTCATTTGCTGAAATAATCAGTTTTAACCATTCAGTTGTTGTTGTTAAGTGCCATCAAGTTGGTTCAGAGGCTTATAAATCTTTGTGAGAGCAGAAAGCCTCATCTTTCTCCCATGGAACAACTAGTGGGCTCAAACCACTGACCTTGTGGTTAGCAGTTCAGTGCTTGTCCCACAAAACCACAGCGCTTCTTAACTGTTGAGATGAGGTCTGTAAGGATAACATGTCCTAAATTTTTGTTATACCAATTGCCTCTGAGTCTCTTACAGCTGTAGGACAGAGTAGAACTGCCCCATGGGGTTTCCAATGCTGTAAATCTTTACAGGAACAGACTGCCACACTTTTCTCCCATAGTGGTTCAAACAGCTGAGTTTTCAGTTAGCAATCAAGCACTTAGCTACCGCACCATCAGGTGCCATAACATTTTGGTTGGCTAGCTTAATTCCGAATATTTGTTTTAATTAGAGCCAATGGATTAGCTACCAGAGAAAAGGGGAAAGGAATAAAGAAGCCCTCCTAAGTTGGTTTGAGCAATTGGATAGATTGGACAAGAGGAACAATTGTTTCTTCAGAATGTTAGGGGAATGCTGATGGTCAGGTTACTTAGGAGAGAAATATGCTTCATACTTCCAAATTCACTCAAAGTGAAACGATTCAATGATACTTTGAAAACCTATAGTGAACTAGCTATAACTCTTTTCTTTTCCAGATTTGGAAATTATTCATTTAATACTGAGTACCTCTTCCATGTTAGGCATTGAGGCTAGCAGCCAACTGCACTAAGTCCTACCTTCATGGAGCATACAGACTTGTGTGGAGACCAGAAATAATCAGAAAAGCAAAAAATGAAGCAAAGTGAAGGCAAAACCCTCACTTGAGGAGTAGGATTAGGGGGTTTGGGAGTGGACAGCCATCAGCCAGGGTCAAAGATCTGCAGGATCCAGTACTTCTTAACTATTGAATATCCAGGGAAAGAGTATTCCAAGCAGATGGGGCAACTAGAAGAAAGGCCCTGTGTAGGGTTTCCTTCCATGTCACTTTCCCCCTCGATCTTAAATAGAGCTTCCCTAGAGCTCGAAGGATACAAGGACTTCTGGTGTGGTGCTGTAGGATCAGCACTGGACTGCAAACCACAAGGTCAGCAGTTCAAACCCACCACCTGCTCCTCAGAGACCCTCTGCAGGGCCACTGTGAGCCGGGACCAACTCGACAGCACCTAACAAGAACAACTGAGCTAGAAGGACCTAACAAGAACAACTGAGTGAGCTAGTAGTTGGAGGGGCTGTGAAGAAGGGGGATCAAAAAAGAATGAGGTCCTAGAAGTAAAATCTGGGTATTTTCAATTTTGCTTTCATCTTGACAGCCTGCCATCAAAAGAACTCCTTTATAGTCTTGAGCTCAAACTAATGGACAACAGTTAAGATTACTGAGGATGCCTTTAAAAGAAAACCATATCAGTTATATAGTTTATCAGAGAGCATAGTGGCTCCATCGGATAAACATTGGACTGCAAACCACAAGGTCAACGGTCCGAGCCAACCAGCCTCTCCCTGGGAGAAAGATGAGGCTTTCTGTTCCCACAAAGATTTATAGCTTCAGAAACCCTATACAGTATTGCTATGAGTAGGAACTGACTCAAAGGCATTTAAAACAACACTAACAAATATAGTCTATCACTAGTTAAACCTGCTAAATCTAACAAAGGCTGCAAAGCTGATTGTATAGCTTTTCTCATCTCTCCCTACTCCTCATTGTTTTGCATCCACTGATAGCTGGCTTTGGTCTTAGGTGAATATAATGAAAGACAAGAAAAAGAATTCCTAATACTATGAAAAGCTAATATTTGAACATAATGTTATGTATGTTAAGTTCCATTGAGTTGTTTCTGACTCATAGTGACCCTGTATAGGGTTTCTGAGGAGCGGCTTGTAAGTTTGAACCACTGACCTTGTAGTTCAATCACTTACGGTCCAGTGTTTATCCTACAGCGCCATGCCAGGACACCTGTTTGAGCATAATAGGAAGTAAATGTTTTCTTTTGTCTTTATCTTCTTTATATTTCCATAGTGCAAGAAAATGATATAGTTCTTACTATGTTCTGGTGTTACAGGATAAGCACTGGACTGCTAATCACAAAGTCTGTGGTTCAAACCCACCAGCCACTCCTCAGAAGCCCTATACAGGGTCGTTATGAGTCAGATCTAACTCAACAGCACTTAACAACAGCAACAGTGTCACAGCACACTTTAACCTATGACACTTTGAAATGCTCTTCAGGAACATTTATAGATAATTTATAATAATACAAAATAGCAAGCCTGCCTTCTCCCCAACATTCTTATTCCCCTGCTCTGCATTCTTTTTTAGTCTGTAGGGCTTCTGCCTTTTGACATATTTCATATCTACATCTAAATTTGTGTATCTTGCTCCCTCCCTGTAAGTTCCTTAAGGGTAGGCGCTTGGTCTGTTTTGTTCATGACTTTATCTCCAGGCCCAAAATTGGTGCTTGATTCCTAGTAGGTGTAGGTTCAATAAGTATTTGGAAAATGAATAATCTACTTGCTGTTTCAGTTGCTCCGATAAAAGTCGCTAGAGTCCTGTCAAACCAGTTGATTTCAATTCCATATCTTCAGCCTATTGCTGTGCACCATGTCTATGTTGTTGTTAAGTGCTTTCGAGCCGGTTTCTACTCAGAGTGACCCTGTATGATAAGTGCATAATGAGTAGACTGTAGGAGAGAGAAGTTAATGTACCAGGCCAAAATGAGAAAACTGATTGAATTATTTACTATTTATTTATATCCTACAACTGCAAGCTATTATGCTATCACTTCAAATTTATTCATATCAATGTGGATTTTCTATATTCAGGCTTTTGATAGGAGCAATTTAAAATATCAACTAATCTTCAGGTTTGTTCTTTTCAATTGATAGAGACTTGTTCGTAACACAGCCAATCACATTAGCATCTAATCTATGTTCTTTGGTGATAGTTTCAGTTTTAGATAAGAAGAGTTCACTATTTAACATGATATATAAAGTTAACTAAAATATTCTCTTGGCTGACTAAAAGGAAGTTAGTTGTCTTTTGAGAAGAAAAAAAAATTAATAAAGCCTTTTTTTCCCCCCCTCAAGGGATGGAGAGAGGAAAAGTATGAGCGTTGAGAGGTAATATTTTATTAGTTATTTATTGTTTATAAGTAATTCATGTTATTTTTAACTCATTTTTGAATTAATTTTTACAAAATATGTCAAAACAAAATTTATTTAGGAACCCAGTAACAATTTTCAGGAGTTCACACTCCCAAAGTCAATAATCTTTAGTTATATGATCAATGGGAACATAATGAACTGCAACTATTTTTATTATTTAATGTTTTTTCTTCTGCCAAGTGATAAACCACTACTGTTAGGATTCCAAGTCTTTACTTCTATTCTGGTTTATAAGAAAAGTGATGTTGATTATTTCATTAGGTAGTAACAATGAGAGTTCTTCCTGAAACTCCTCAAATCTTGGTGAACGAGAAGAGAAATCAAATAGTGACGTATTATTGGTAAAAGAGAGCTTAAAGATGATCTAGTGTGGTACATTATAATTTTGTTTGTATATCAAATGAAATCTTGACTGAACTTCAGTGTTTGGAGAAAGGTGTTATTTTGAAAAGTCCCTCAATGATCTCCTCAAAGAATCTTAATTCCACTTAGACGTTTAGGGACTGCTCACCAAGTATACTTTTGTGTTAATTTTTCTTACATATTATTTGTGATTAGAAAGAGTTGAAGAACTTGTGCAAGATTCAATAAATAACTTTGATAAACATTGTTATTTTAGACTACAATTTACACAAAGGTAACCAAAAGAAAAAAGAAAGCATCCCAAAGTGAAACAGTATTGTCCTATTTAATGAATGCATTTTCTTCAATTTTGTCTTTTATTATTAAAACAAGAATGTGTTCTCTGCCACTTTTTTTTTTTTTTTACAAGTTTTTATTGTGAATTAAGTGATAGCTTACATGAAATGTTCTCTGCTTCTCTTTCTAGAAATTCTTCTTGACTTCTTTAAAATTGCATTAAAACATTAAACTTTGGGTAGGCTTTGAAATTTATATCACATACTAAGAACTCTTACAGTGTATAAGAAAGCAAACCAGTAGAAAAAATGGAAAAATGATATAAATGGTTAACAGAAAAGGAAACGCAGTGGTGTTAAAACATGGGAGGATATTTTCGATTCTATTTAGAAAGTTCTCTGAGATTGAATTTGTCATCTATTATATTGGCAAAGATTGACATACTTTATTGACAAGACTATAGAAGTGAAAAAAGTTTAGATTCTTAAGCAGGACAGGATGGTGTATTCGTTTTCTAATGCTGCTATAACAAATGGCCACAAATTTAGTGGTTTAAAACAAGACAAATTTATTTTCTCACAATTTTAGAGGTTAGAAGTCAAAAAAGAATGCATAATTGTGTTCTTTTTGTAGGCTCTAAGAGACACTCTGTTTCCTTGCCTTTCCTAACTTTTAGAGACCACCTGAATTCCTTGGCTTATGGCCCCATCCCTATCCTCAACCCCAGCAGCATAGCATCTTCTACACACACTCTCTCTCCCTGACTTTGATCCTCCTTCTGCCTCTTATAAGGACCCTTGTTATACATAGTTGTTGTTGTTGAATGCTTTCAAGTCAGTTCCGACTCATAACAACCCTGTATAGGGTTTCCAAGGAGTGGCTGGTGGGTTTGAACTGCCGATCCTGCAGCTTAAATTGACCTTGCAGCCCAGTGCATTACCCTACAGTGCCACATGAGGATAGTTGATAGATACTTCCAAATTGCCTACACAGGGTTGCTGAGAATCAGAACCAACTTGACAGCACTTAACAACAACATCAACTATCTAACAAAAATTCTTACAACTTGAATAATGTCCATCACGATAAATGGAGAAAAGATTGAAATTGTCAAGGATTTCATTTTACTTGTATCTATAATCAATGCTCGTGGAAATAGTCAAGAAATCAAGCAACGTATTGCATCCAGTGAATCTGTTGCAAAAGACTTCTTAAAAGTATTAAAGAGCAAAAATGTCAGTTTGAGAACTAAGGTGCACCTGCCCAGCCATGGCGTATGTATTGCTTCATATGCATGTGATAGCTGGACAGTGAGTAACAAAGACTGGAGGAGAACTGATGCATTTGAATGATGGTGTTGGCAATGAATATTGAATATACCATGGACTTCAGGAGAACAATCATATCTGTGTTAGAATAAGTCTAGATGGAGTGTTCCTTAGAAAGGAGGGTGGTGAGACTTAGACTTCATCCACCTTACTTTGGACATGTTGTCAGGAAGGATCAGTGGACATCACACATGGTAAAGTAGAGGGTCAGCTAAAAAGAGGAAGACCCTCAATAAGAGGGGTTGATATGGTGGTTGTAACATAACAATAATTGTAAGGATGCACAGGACTGGCCAGTATTTTGTTCTGTTATACACAGGGTTGCTATGAGTTGGAATCAACTCCATGACACCTAACAACACTATTCAAAATCAGAGCTACTTTGGTCACACAGATGTTTTTTAGGAATTCATCACAGTATAATCACATGTCAGTTAACATGCTTACAAAGTTATTCATTGCAGCTTTTTATTTTTAATGGTAGCAAAAGATTGAAAATAACTAAATAACCATGAGTAAAGAATTGGTTAAATTTTGTTACATCTTTAAATGGGATGTTATGCAACCATATAAAATTGAAGAAGTTATTTACTTATAGGGAATTCTTACCAAGATGAATTGAGCAAAGCAAGAGGCTGAACAATGTGTCTACTATTCTACTGTTTATATAAAAAAAAAATGAGAAAAAGATGTTTGTTTGCTTATACAGGAATATAATATTTCTGGAGGAATTAATAAGAATAAAACAGTGATGGCATTAGCTGCTAGTGGGAGGAGAGTTGGGCAACTAGGTATTTCAGGAGACAGGGACTCTGTATAGGGATTTGCTCAGGGACATATACTTAGCACACTGATCTCTCCTTCGTCTCTTCCTCTCTTACGTTTATATGCATTCAACTTCTTTTAACACTCTTGTACAGATGAATTCAAGATTTGTACATTTATTTATAACTGTCCTCCATTTCTAGTTGCTGTTAGACAACTTTCTAGGTGCCTTACTTGGAGAGATTTCCCTTCCAGAAAATACATGTGCAAGAAACAGTTTGAATAATGTTCATGTCTATATTTTCTTAAGAAAATCCTCTGTAGTAAAGTCTATGTGCACGTATACTCAGTGTGTTGTAGATTCTGGGGACATTGTCATTGTCTGTTAGTGCTTTGAATCACCTTTTTTATAATATTGCAGAGAAAAGTGAGAGCATAAGTTATGTCTTTGCTAATCTAAATGGTTTACCATTATTTAGGCAGATCTTAGTTGTTTTTATTTAATACAATTATATCTTAGTACATCTAACATTTTATTGTGTGCTGTAGAAAATAGAACAATGCTAGGCCATTTAAATATACTGTATCATTCTTAAAATATCTTGAATTGCAGCTGACTGGGTGCACCAAAATCATTCATGTCTTTCTAGAACATTCAGTGAGATAAGTAAAGCAGAAGAACAGTATAGCTTATGCCAAGAACTTTGCAGTGAACTTGCTCACGATCTTCAGAAAGAAGGACTTAAGGTATGTTCTTTTGAGATGCTGCTTGAAAACTTTACAGAGATGCTACCTTATTCAGGAGTTAGATTACTTATCTCATAAGATTAATGCAAATAGAAAAATGTCAAAAGAGAATGTTCTCATCATCAACAAACAGAGACAGATTCAGTTTTGACTTATATCTGAGGCCTGTTGTTGTTGTTAAGTGCCGTCAAGTTGGTTCCAACTCATAGGGACCCTGTATAGTGTCTGTTTCCAAGGAGCGGCTGGTGAGCTTCAACCACTCACCTTGCAGTTCAAATAGACTTTGCAGTCCAATGCATTAACCCACAACCTAGTACGAAGTTATTATATAGGGAAGCATCTTAGGAGACTCAAGTAGTTCCCAGGTAATTCTAGAGTTCCAACCACCTAGGGAGTAGATTTGAATAAATTCAAAACCAGAGTTATATTGGCAAAAGGCAAGAGAACAATTACCCATCCTCAAGTGGTTAACGGAGGTGACTGCTAACCAAAAGGCTTGAAGTTCAAGTCCCCTCAAATGTCTTGGAAGAGAGCTTTAGTGACCCACTTCCAAAAACACAGCTACTGAAAACCCTATGGTGCACAGTTCTACACACGCACTATGTCACCATGAGTCAGAACCAACTCAACAGTGAGTGATTTGATTAGTTCTGTATTTCCATAATATAAAGGCTCTCCCTGTCATCCTTTAATGTTCTTCCCACGTAGACCGTGACCTTCTAGAATAGGGTATTTTATTTTAGGAGTCCTGGTTGTAGCTCTGTAGGATAAGTGCAGGACCACAAGTCCAGTTTGAACCACAAGGTTGGCGGTTCAAACTCGCCAGCCCCTTAGAAACCCTTTACTGGGTTACTGTGAGTCAGAACCAACTCGATGGCACTTAACAACAACAACTTTTTACACAAAATGCCTGGAAGACTTAGAACTGTCTGTTTTATAATCTTCACTCCCAACAGTCTCTGTTTAGCATTTTCCTGGCATTCTCAAGCCAGAGGTGGGATTATTACAAAGTGTAATACCAAAGTATTAAAACATTATAAAGAATGAGATCTGTTAAGTGAGTATTTTTCTCATAATCTATCATCACTTGAATATAAAAGGAGTTCTTACGTGTTAAGTGTTTAGAATAATATCTGGTATATCATAGGTGCACAGTAAGTATTAAAAGTTCTATTCAAGAACTTTTAAATGAAGTCTTTTATAAATCATTTCCCCCTCCTTTGTAAGAGTGACTTCTTCCTCTAAAAGAGATTTAGTGAAAAAAAAGAGGATGCTCAGTTAACTTTACCCTTAATATAAATATCTTTTACAAAGATTTGATTGGGGATGGGATAATAATTCTGGTTAAAATGTCATTTTTACATTACTTATGGATTTTGTTCTTTTATGATAATTCTCATTACCATACTTTGTGAGTCATTTATTACACTTTCATATTCTTATATGAGGGAGTACTGTGGCTCTGTAGGATAAACACTGAACTGCTCCAAAAGAGAAAGATGAAGTTTTCTGCTCCCATGAAGATCTGTAAACTTGGAAGCCCTATACAGGGTTGTTGTGAGTCAGAATCGACTTGTCAGCACTTAACCACAACAGTATTTTTTTTTTTTTTTTTAATTTAAGGTTTTTATTGTGGATTGAGTGAAAGTTTACAGGGCACGTCATCAGTTTCACATTCAACCATTCATATAACTTGTTTCATTACATTGATTATAATCCCTCCATATACCATGAGTTGAAAGTATTTCTCTCTATCCACTTTAGCTTTTTAAAAAACACACAAACAAAAAAACCCACTCAGGCATATGTAATAATTTACATCTCCAAAGGGCACCTTCTACAAGTCTGCTCCTGGCCACCAGCTCTTAGTCCTTCTCTTCTTAGTTGATGAATCTAGAGTCCTCAGCTGCTCCCCCTCTCCATGCCCCCATCTCTGCCTCCATCTCTGGCGCTGCTGCTTCTCTGGATAAGGTCCTGCATTCTATTTTTGTGTTCCTTTCTTGGTGGTCCTAGGGTCCTCTGTTTCTGGACTATAAGATTAACCACTCCCCTTTTCTTTTTTTGTTACAAAACTTCTACCTTTACAAGTGTGACAGTGGCGATTAGTCATGATAACAGTTATTCTCTATTGAATCTTACGAATCTTATCCCCATCTCCTTTCACCAGACCCATAACAGTATTCTTATATGTACACCACATACTCTTCTGAATTTTTCTAACTTGTTAAATAAATTTTTTGCTAGAAGTTAAAAGCTGTGTGTAATTACATTCTGTTTGTTATAGGGTAGAACTGTTACCATTAAACTGAAGAATGTGAATTTTGAAGTAAAAACTCGTGCATCTACAGTTTCATCTGTTGTTTCTACTGCAGAAGAAATATTTGCCGTTGCCAAGGACCTGCTGAGAACAGAAATTGATGCTGATTTTCCACATCCCTTGAAATTAAGACTTATGGGTATAACTTTTCTCCTTGCTCCTTAATTCTGTTAGATTTTCTGAAATAATCATTTAAAAATCACTTCCACTTTATTTCTTGATCCTAATTAGTTGGTTCTAAGCTGCTGTCATTTATGATAATTCTTAAAACCTTAGTCATGTGAAATAATGGTCATTAGGTTGAATATAGTAAAAACTAATTAAAGTCTCTCTTTTTCAGTCCCTTATCTTAAATCTTTGGGACAAAGTATGTTTGCAAATTCAGAACTTTTCAGATATCAGAAAGCAGATTCAGTGTATATTGAGTATATTTTTTGATAGTTATTAATTAGTATTCCTTTGGGGACTGGGGCAGCACTCCATGATCGAATGCATTAATATTTCTTTGTTGTTTTTGTTAAGTGCCATGGAATCGGTTCCAACTTAATCTCAAGTCCTAGTGACCTTGTATGAACCACCACCCTTGTGGCTAGCAGTCTAGTACTTACCCTACAGTGCCACACGAGGACACGTGATTGAAGTATGAGCACGAATAATTATCTGTGGAGAGAGAGATGAGTTTGTACCCTGTGTATCCAGTTCCAGTTTATGTTCCAGTTAAATACAATGGCAGAACTATCAGTACAAATCTTACCTTAGAATTTCCATTCAATTGCAAGAAATGACTAGCCAAAACAAAACAAAATAATATTCACACTAAGTGTAAAGAGTATAAAGAGATTCTGTCAGCTTTGTCACTACTATCATTTGTTGCTTACAATTTTCAGAGCTTTTTGGATTTCAGGATTACAGATAAGAGATGATGGTACTTTATAATCACATTTCTAGTCACCACCTGGTCAAAAGAAAACAAAGCACACTTCCAAAGTATGAGAGAGTGCATATGGATAAGCAATCCAGATGCCCACTTTACTATTAAAAGTAGCTTATTTGCCTTAACTTTAATATATAAAAGACAGCACATGCTGAAATAGATTGAACACAGTAACTTTAAATAAAAGACCTAAAGCGTCTGTGTGGTTGATTACAGTAGCTACTTAGTAATCAATAGTATTGTGTATCATCTCATATATTAAGTAAAAGACACATATAATTATGCCATGCAGGAGAAAGATGAGGCTTTCTGCTCCTGCAGAATTTAAAGCTTCAGAACCTTATATAGGGTCACTATGAGTTTGACCCGACTCAGCACCATTTAACAACAGTAATCACACCAACTCTATCATAGAATTAATATTTAATGATTCTCAGCTTTATAAAGGAAAACAGATTCCCAGTCAAAATACCAGCTTGGGAAAATAGCCTTTCGTTCTGAAAATAATTGCTTCTCATTTCCCTCTAACCAACCTTTTTGTGTGTCTGTTGCATCAGTATTATGTAAATGTTTTTATGTGCTGTGAGTGAATTAAGTTTTGTTGAATCTGACATTGATTTATCGTGGTTGGTTTCATTTAGGTGTGCGGATATCTAGTTTTCCCAACGAAGAAGATAAGAAACACCAACAAAGGAGCATTATTGGCTTCTTACAGGCTAGAAACCAAGCCCTGCCAGCCAGTGGGTGTGTACTGGAGAAAACTGACAAAGATCAGTTTATAAAACCTCAGGAAATAACTCCTCAGAAGAGTTTCTTTGATAAAAAAAGATCAGAAATGAAGTGGAGCCACCAGGACGCATGTAAATGTGAAACTCTGAATAAACAAAGTGTACACACATCACAGCCCTTTCAAGTTTCAAAGATGAATGAGAACTTTGAAGCGGCAGAGAATTCAGATAGCTGTCAGATATTTACCTGTCCTGTTTGCTTTCGAGAGCAAGAAAACATCAGTTTAGAAGCCTTTAATAGACATGTGGATGCATGTCTTAGGGGACCTTCTGTCAGTGAAGAACATGCTTCCTCTTCAGAAATTAACACAAAAGAAAATGTGCATCATTCTCTTTCACTCAGTGAGAAGCAGACTTCGGAAACCCATGAGAATAATATAGAAGTCACTTTAGTAGACTATGAAGATTTGGCAGAAACCAGAGATAACATATCTACTAAAGCAGAAAGTATAGATGCTTTAAACAATAAGGAAAGGGAAGGGGAATATCCCAGCCTTCCAAGCAAGTCTTTTAATATGGAATGCTTTCATCAGAATTCTTCTTGTACTGTTTCATTGGAAAATCAAGATGGCAGGTCATTAAATAGGCAAAAATCCCTCCAGCCGCATTTCCAAGAAATGATAACAGACCAAGCTCTAGTTTGTCCTGTCTGCAACTTAAAACAAAAGACTTCGGATCTTTCTCTTTTCAATATGCATGTGGATGTTTGCTTAAATAAAGACATTATTCAGGAAATGAGGAAGGATAAAGTTAATCCAGTTAACCAACCCAAAGACAACTCGAGAAGTACTGGTGAGTTTGCAATCATTGTAGAAAAGACTTGATTTTCTAGGTCTTATTACAGTTGGGCTATTATTACAGTAGGAGAAGGAACTCTGGTAGCGTAATGGTTACGAATTGGGCTGCTAACCTCAAGGATGGCAGTTCGTAGCTACCAGCTGTTCCACGGGAGAAAGATGAGGCATTCTGCTCCCGTAAAGATTTGTAGCCTCGGAAACCCTGTGCAGGATCACTATGAGTCGGAACCGACTCCACGGTACTTACCAACAGCGACATTACAGTAGGGGAGTCCTGCTGTGGTGCTGTAAGATAAGCACAGGACTGCAAGGTTGGTTAACTGCAAGTTGGCAGTTCAAACTTACCAGCCACTCCTCAGAAACCCTATACAGAGTCGCTAAGAATCAGAACAGACTCAAAGGCACTTTAAAACAACAGCATTACAATAATGAGATTTTTGTTATATCGGAAGCAAGTACCATTAAAGGGATGGCTTGTGTTGCCGTTTAGGGGAATGTTAGAGCCTTACCATAGGTTAGAATTAGCTGAAACCATTAGATTTTGAATTTGGGAAATTTTAATTTGGGCTTGATTTGAACTCAGAGGTTTAAGGAGCTGAGTGATAAAATCAAATAAGAAATTCCTTAGAAGAACTGGGGTGGTGCTGTGGTTTAATGTGCTGGACTGCAAAGTTGTTTGAACCAGAATTCGGCAGTTTATGCTTACCAGCCAGTCCTAAAAAACTCTATACAGGCTCGCTATAGGTTGGAATTGACTAAACGGCACTTAACAACAACAATTACAGTCAGAATTGGGGCCCTGGCGTGGCACTGTAGGATAAGCACTGGACTGCTAACTGCAAGGTTGGTGGTTCAAACCCACCATCCACTCCTTGGAAACCCTATACAGGGTCACTATGAGGTGGAACCAACTTGATGGCACTTAACAACAGTCAGAAAGCCTTTTTAACTTTTTTTTTTTTTTCTTTTTGTAGTTTTGACTCTAGCCAACTTTTAAAAAATAAGTTTAATACTGATAGACAGTAAATTACAAAGAAATTATGCTTATAAAATTAGTTTATAAACTATAGTACTGAGGAAGATTTTTATTATTATTAATCAGCTTTAACTTTCAGTTTGTTGTTGTTGTTGTTAAGTGCCGTCGAGTCGGTTCCAACCCATAGCGACCCTGTACAGGGTTTCCGAGGGTGTAAATCTTTATAGGAGTAGAAAGCCTCATCTTTCTCCCGCGGAGCAGCTGGTAGTTTTGAACCGCTGACCTTAAGGTTCGCAGCCCGATTCGTAACCACTACGCTACCAGAGCTCCTTTGTTAGAGTTTTTAAATTGTTTCACACTTCTCATCATGATACTTCTTGTCTTCTATTCCTTCTGTAGGTAGCTCAGACAAAGTACAGAAGATGGTAACAAGAACAAAAAGGTATGTCAGAATCAACTCGACGGCAACTGGTTTGGTTTTTGTTTGCTTTTGTTTAAACATTAAGGAAACTGTCTGCAAAACTCATATTTTGAGATCTGAGTACTGGGCTGCTAACCTTAAGATTGGTGGTTCACACCCATCAGCCACTCCTTGAAAACCCTATACAGGATTGCTATGGTTCAGAACTGACTTGACGGCACTTAACAACAACAATTTGTGAGACTTGTTAAATCTTATTTTTATAAATTATCAAGTTACATTTTTATAATCAGTGATTTGTAAATTTAATTTTTAAATCTCTTCTTGTATTTTAATTTTGTGTTCCTTTTTATTCCAGGACAGGACTAACAACGAAGTATTCGAGATCAAAGAAAATAAAACCAAACCATTCCAAGCATACCCTTGATCTGTTTTTTAAATGAACAATGAACATTTTTGTCATTAACTTGTTCTTGTAATTGGTTACTTTATTCTTTCTAGTTGCAAGTCTGAATATTTAGTAAAAGGCAAGTGCAATAAACCCCCTCCAAAGGTTATTTCCTTTTATATGAATGAGCTTGGACTATGTAGTCATTTTCTTCTCTATACCTTTTTTAATAAAAAACATAAAAATTTCGCTTCCCGAATACATCAACTGGGAATCTGTGATGACAGGGAGAATTCTTAAAAAGAGAAACTTAAGAAAAGAATTAGTAAGTGGTTTTGTAAAAATTTTTATGATGACTATAACAGCATATTTACAAGGACACCCAGAGGTCCCAGCATAAGAATTTTTTAGCACTTACCCACTTTGTTGGCATTAGACTAGTATAATTAATCCTAGTCTCTTCAGGTACCTCATGAGCTTTCAAATTAAAATTTTCATAAGTGCTGTGAAGAATACTAGTAGAATTAGTTATTAGCAATTTTGTACCTTCAAGGAAGTATCACAGTATTATTTGTTAAAGAGAGATTTTTTTCTTAAAATTTGATTGTTTTTCTTATTGAAAATGCCCTTACCTTCTGAATAAGCAGTTGGTTCAATATTTAACCAAAGATTCAACGTAGTCATTTTCTTATATTGGACTTTTAAGTGGCAGTTTTTCATTTCCTGGCAATTATGCTGTGCTTTTTTCAGGAGAAAAATGTGCAACTGAAATGATTAATGTGTATTAGAATATCAGACATATTTAGTTATATTTTTATCACATTTTTATTTAATATTTATGAAAGAAGATGGTTTAATGATTTAAAATGGTTATTCTAAACACTTCTGAGCTATCAAATAGAGTTCTTATCAAAAGACAATAATTTAACTAGAACATGAAGATGAAAACCAGTTTCTATTAATGCTTCAGTAACTGAATCTTTTGTTGTCTTACATTTTTTTTCTTAGTTTATGTATTTTAGTTTATTATCTAGATATGTAAGTACATAGTATTTTAGGAATGGCTTAAATTAAGGTATTGCACTATCTTTGTCCAAAGTAGTAACTTATATAGATGGCTTAAAATCAGGTTTCCTGCTTATCATTATGTACTATGTTACTCTATTTTTTTATACTATGATGAATTAGAGCTTTAGTTCTTGATTGTGTGGTTGACTTATATAAGTACTGTATAGAATTGAGTTCGATGAAATACTGATTTAATGTAATGAAAGCTAGATAGCACCATATTTATTTCTGCCCTTAGGAATAACACAAAGGTGCCCTTTATTATTTTACTGGAGATCCTAGCCAATTCAATTAACAAATAAGATTAATAAAAACTAGGAACAAATGGGGGAAAAATTATTGTCAGGTGGTGTGTTTGTCTATATGAAAAAGCAAACAACTACATTTAATAAAGGAGTTTGATAATGTTTATGGCTACAAGATCATTGTATAGAATCAAGACATTTGTATAAAAAGATGATTTTACTGTCATTTATAGCTGTGTCTTTATTTGCTTCTACATATCTTTTAACTCATCCTTTCTTATTTCCCCCACCACCTCTGCCAACTCTGTTACTGAATTCTACTTCCTCTTTTGTGGCTGTTGTTGTTACGTGCCGTCAAGTGCTTCTGACTCATCATGATCCTATATAGGGTTTCCAAGGAGCAGCTGGTGAGTTTGAACCACCACCTTGCAGTTCAAATCGACCTTTTGGTCCAGTGCTTATCCCACAGCACCACACCAGGAATCCATGTTATCTTTTAAGGCTTTTGAAAGACATCCATTTCTTTCCATTCCTTTTATGAAAGCCTTATCAATTGTCTAAACTCTTACCTCCCAACTCATTTCTCAACTTGCAAATTTTTCCCTGCTCTAAACCATCTTGTGTATTTTTAAAATATTAACCATAAAGAATGCTTGTCTAATACCACTATTATATTTTAAAAATTCAAAACTCCAAAAGCTCTCAGGTGTCTCCAGAAGTATTGTAGAACAAATAGATTTTTAACAGTAGATTTTGTCTTGGTTCAAACCCACCAGCGGCTCCTTGGAAACCCTACATAGGGTCGCCATGGGTCAGAACTTACCAACAACAAAATGGTGTAAATTCTCCCACTGTGGTTTGATTCCAGGTTGCAGACATGATGTTAACCAGATCACAAAACTCCTGAAACTTTAAGTCAGCTCTTGGCAGATGGCACACGCTAGCTTCCATACTCCATGATGCATTCCAAACACTAAGCTGGCATTCAAGGCCAGGTAGGCATCTAGCTTCCTGAGTGCTGTTGTTAGTTGCCATCAAGTCATCCCTGGCTCCTGGCAACCTGTGTATAACAATGAAATGCTGCCTGTATGCCATCTTCGTGGCTGTCGGTACATTCGAGTCCATAGCTGCAGCTAGTGTGTCAGTCCCATACACAGAGGGCTGACTTGTTTTTCTTGGTTCTCTACTTTCTCAAACATGATGTCTTTTTCTAGCCATTGGTTATTTCTGATGTTCAAAATAAGCAAGTTAAAGTCTTGCCGTCCTTGCTTATTTGGTTGTGTTTATTTCTAAGACTGATTTTTTTGTTTTTTCATTCTTTTGGCATTCTACAGTATATTCAGTGTTCTGTGTCAACATCAACACCACAGTTCTAATATACCAATTCTTCTGTCTTCCTTTTTCGGTATCCAACTGTTGCTTGCATCTGAGATCATAGAAAACACCATGATTTTAGTTATCAAACATATATTTGCTTTTTAAAACTTTAAGAGGTCTTTTGCAGCAGGTTTGCCCAATGCAATGCATTATTTGATTTCTTGTCTATTGCTTCCATGGATGTTGATTGTTTTGTATGTTTGTTTGTTTGCTGTTGTTTGTTTTTTTTTTTCACTTTTTATTGTAAATTGGGTTAAAGTTTACAAACAAGATCATCAGCTTTACATTCAACAAATTATACACTTTGTTTCATCTCAATGATTACAATCCCCTCCCTGCATCAAGTTATTCTGCTTCTTTACTGTGGCATCCCTTTTAAATCTTATATTTCACAAATGAAGAAAGCAAAAATATTTGATGTACACTTAGAAAACAAGAAATATTTATTTATTAATTTAGATGTTCAGAGGGCACATTCTGACAGCTAGCCTCCTTCCTACCCACAGGCATACAGCCTTTCTCAGTTCCTGGACTTCAGACCTCACAAACTGCTCTGCTGCTCCATGCCACCGCCTCTGCCACTGTCTTTGCTGTCACTGCTTTTCTAGGTAAGGGATCTCATGCTCCACTCCTGCTCTTCCTTCTTGATGGTCCTGGGATCATCTGTTCCTGAAATGAGACATTAGCTCCTCCCCCTTTTAATTGTACATCTTCTATAATTACAGTTTTGGCAATCACAGTTAATTCTGCTAATAGTACCTCACAAATGTCATAAAATCCTACCACCTTCATCCCCCATCACCTTTAACCAGATCTGTTTGGAAAAGAGGGAAACTAGTCAGTGAGGATTCTACTTTACCCATCTCATTCTGAAACTAAGCTCACTCATGAAAACTTGTAAGCCACCCACTTCATGCCTTTATAGCACCGCCACCCAGTTTTGATTGTCAGTGTCTAAATTTCTCATATCTATCAACCCAGTACACTGAGGAAACAAGCTTGTTCCTTGAGATGATGAGTCCTTCCATTGTGGTTGGAATTTTGAGTCACTGTATTCATAAGCAAAAGTCTGGTTCGTCAAATTGCAGCAATTTGTGCTTGTTTGCATAATCAAATACCTATATCTTCCTCAGGTTGAGTTGCAAACTAGGTCAAACGAGTACTAGCTGAAAATTTGGGAGTTTCACGTATGCCTTCTTACACTTGCGACCTGCTGGCCACTTCACTCTCAGCCTTAGCCCTCGGGCTAGGTCAGTGCTCATGGGCTCAAGAGTTCACATGTCTTCCTAAACTTCAGACCAACCAGTTGTTCTTCTCTCTCGCATCTCAAGAGCAATGTGTACTAATGGAACCTGGTCAAACTCAGCCCATGCTGCATTGCTGCATTCCTCCTACCTCCATTCACAAGTAGACCCAGGTGATCACCAGTGAGCATACTAGACTGCTTACATGTTCCCTATAAGTTTTAGTTCTTGTTGTCGTTATTATTAGGTGCCATCGAGTCAGCACCGACTCATAGTGACCTTATGCACAGCAGAACCAAACAATGTCTGATCCTGAGCCAAACTCATTAATGTTGCCACACTTGAGTCCATCAATGCGGCCACCTGGCCAATCCATCTCGTTGGGGGTCTTCCTCTTTTTCTCTGACCCTCCATCTTACCCAGCATGATATCCTTCTCTAGTGACCGTTCCCTCCTGACAATATGTCCAAAGTATGAGAGACGAAGTTTGGCCATCCTAGCCTCTAAGGAGCACTCTGGCTGCACTTCTTCCAAAACAGATCTATTGGTTTATTTGGCAGCCTATGGCAAAATTCAAAGGCATCAATTCTACGATATTCCTTATTCACTATCTAGCTTTCACATCCATATGAGGTTATTGAAAATACCATGGCTTGGGTCAGGCACACCTTAGTCCTCAAAGTATGAGAGATGAAGTTTGGCCATCCTGGCCTCTAAGGAGCACTCTGGCTGCACTTCTTCCAAAACAGATCTATTGGGTTTTTTTTGCAGCCTATGGCAAAATTCAAAGGCATCAATTCTACGATATTCCTTATTCACTATCTAGCTTTCGCATCCATATGAGGTTATTGAAAATACCATGGCTTGGGTCAGG